TAAAGGCAAACTAGGACAAGGCCCCAACTTCAGTGAAAGAACTATTGGTAGCTCTTTACTAATGGGTGAGAGAGAGTTGATCGTCTTTAAAGGAGGGACTCTAGATAGGCTGACTAGACTCCAGTGGGTGAACTTGCACTGAGGGATGTCTGGGTACACTAACTTGAATTGATAGGCCTTAACATAAATGACAGAATGCATGAAATTCCATGGGGGGCTTTGGGAGGGCATAGATCAGGGAGGGGGCATAAAGATGATTAAGATATTTTGTATGAAATACAAAAAAATCAGTAAAAATATACAAAAATAAAAACAAGGACTGGTTCAAAGAACAAAAATGGATATCTATTTAAAGTCTATTTAAAAGTGTTTGGGTTTTGCCCAAGCTTTATGTACATATTTCATACCAGGCTGGTGTGACTGACCTTCTGGGTATTCAATAACCATACTTGGAGGCCTATATTAATGTGGTCAGAGGAATTAAAAGGAACAATATGTTTCTCCTTGCCTTCCCCACGTCAACTAGGTCCCAGGAAACTGTGGGACACCTCTAGAAATGTCCTGTACCCCTACTGAGTCATTTGTCTGCTTGCTTGGGGGAGGCTATGGAGACCCTCCAGGTGGGCTCTAACCAGTGTCCAGTCTACAAAGAGGAGGGTCAACAAAAAATTCCCTCCATACTCCCTTGAAGTCCCACACAAGCAAGGTCTTTGACTTATTCTCAAAATATGGAACCATTGATAAAAGGCAAGCTAGAGGAAACAGAGGCTTTTCCTAAGTGACCCCCGGAGACAAGATTCTCACTGGCTTTGTCATACAAAAAGGTTAGAGGCTGGAGAGATGACTCAGGGTTCAAGAGCCTGACTACTCAGTTCCCAGTACCCACATGGCAGCTAACAATCATCTGTAACTCCAGTTCCAGGGGATTCGACATCCTCTTTTGACCTCCACAGGCATCGCATGACATATATGTACTTTTACATACATGCAGGCAATACTCTCATACACATAAAATAAAAATAATAAAAGGAAAAAAAGGATAATTTTGGTCACCTTCATGGTCTTAAAAACCAAGCAGGAAAGTATAACCAAAAGCTAAAAAGACTGTGTGTTTTTTAACAGTCCATGGGATCACACTCCCAAGACAGTAGGGTCACACAGGTCCTACACAGATGTAGGACATCATGACACTCTAGTGCCTACCTGAAGCCAAGAGAAACAGGTTTATTGTTTTAACCTAAAATATAATGATGGTCAAATTGATTCTCTCTTTCCCTCCCATCTGGGAGGGATCTCACACTGTGATTCTAGCCACTCCAACAGCTATCAAAGTATCTGAAAATATCTTAGGCTCATGACTCTTGAGTCCAGCCTTGTAGGACAAATGGAGAGCCCAGTAGATGGAAATTCTTCTGAGCACATCAAGAAATACTAATGGACTTTCATTTGGACATTTATTATTTATTTTTATAGGTGTCTGAGTGTTTTGCCTGTATGAATGTAAGTGCATCATGTGTGTGCAATGCCCATGAAGGTCAGGAGAGGGCATTGGATCCCTTGGATCTGGAGTTACAGATAACTGTTAGTTGCCATGTGGGTGGGAACTGAACCCTGGTCCCCTGGAAGAGCAATCAGTACTCTTAACCACTGAGCCAGCTCTCCAGCTCCTGATTTGAACATTTAAAAAATATTCTCTGTTCTGGCTTCTTCTGATTCCCTGCATAGGACTTGCAATGCTAAAAACTCTTGCCCTCTCATCGCTTTCCTGGCTCGGGTCAAGTACTTCCTTTCCTCCCTATAGCCGACATTTATTTGACATTTATTAAAAATAAAACCGCTGCTGGGCGTAGTGGCACACACCTTTAATCCCAGCACTCGGGAGGCAGAGGCAGGCGGATCTCTGTGAGTTCAAGGCCAGCCTGATCTACATAGTGAGTTCCAGGACAGCTGAGGCTACAGGGAGACCCTGTCTCAAAAAGACAGAAAAAAAAAAAACCCCACTGATGTACTTCCGGGTGTTTTAGATTAGGTCCCTGGGAAGGGAAACCACATTGCCCCCCAACCCCCCAGTTTGGCTGTAAGAAGCCAGATTATGGTCTTCATCCCAATTCCATAACAGCAGTTAAGGTTTATCTCATTGGAGGTGGCAGGGAGGGAGGAAGTGGGGGTAGTTGATGAGAACAGGAGATAGAAATTGGCTAGGCTGCTTAAGGTAAAAAGAACTCAAAGAAAAGTAATCACTTTCTTTCTTGGCTAAAAGTCGGAAATGTCCTTGGGCCTCTTGGCAGCCTCAGTCTTACCAGAAGCCAGAGATGCCAGAAGTGTTTGGGGACTCTGATCCCTGATCTGGCCTAAGTGGAGACCTGCCATTCCAGTTAGATTTGGTCAATCACCTGGCCAGGGAACCACCCCCTAGGCTAACCTTAAGCCATGCTAAAGAGTGTGGCAGAATAGTTATTCCTTTAATGAGATACTATGCTTTTCCTTCCGAGAAGTCCTGTCCCATGGTACAGTCCCTACTAGCTGAACCGTCATGAGGTTTGACTGAGTCTGCCCACCTTTTTGAGAAAAAAACATTTCTTTTTTTTCGATCTCTTTCTTTGGGATGCTGGACAGAACCTCACTATGCTTCTTCTGATACTCTGGGCTTCTTTACTCTTTCTCTAAAACGCCCCCTTCCCATCATGTGGCTACTTGTCCACTATGTGTCTGACCTCCGTGCTGGCTTAATTGATTTGGCTATTTTTCCTTCTCTCCAATCTCCTCTAGGCAGCTGCAGAGATTTGTAGCTTAACTGTCTTGGGCTGTTTTTCTTTTAAACGCTAATAATAATTTGTCTTTGAGCTTCCATTTGAGTTTT